AGGCAGGATTTTTGCATTACCTGATGGCTAGAAATGCAATAGCTTTATTTTCTATATCTGGAGATAGAAGGGAGTGATAAATTCTGATGATTCATGTTTTTCTTCTTAATTCCTCTGATTCTATAGCTTTTAATTCCTCCAATTCCATAGCTTTTGTACTATGTATTAAGAATAGGCAAAGACTTCTCAAGAAAGTTAGGCAAGATTTTCAGAAGGAAAACAAAAATGTCTTTAGTTAGAAAAATGTGATTGTATTTCTTGATAACTGAAAATATAAAATATATTTTCTCAGTCCTTCCTGGGTTATATAAAGTCCTCAGCCAATTGGGGACTTTAATTTTCTTGATCTTCCTGGATTATTTAAAATTAAGAAAACTTGATATCAAAGAAAAAGTTCCATTTAAATCTACTATCTCATAGTATGCCCCAAAGATCTGTGAAACATAGCCAGTCTGAAACAAAGGCTTGAAAAACACTGGTATCAAATATATAATGAATGCTCAATCTGTACAGGTTATACAAAGAAACTGAAGAATGATCTAAAAGAAACTGAAGAATGATCTATCAGTCTGGAGTTGCACAAGGAGAGCTTGTTTATCTGGTAATAGCATTGCCTTTTTGATAATCTCTAAATTATATACAAGAAAAAGAAAAGATTGGCCTTTCTGCCTAGTATATAATTATTCATTGAATATTTTTAAAGGGAGACGGGATGATTTCTAGGTGACTGATTGGAGTCTTCAGCTATTTCAAGCATCCTGTCAAAGTTTAAAATTAGATATCGTATTGCATATTCAGAAATTTTAAGCAGTGGTCCCTGGTTATTCATGTGACAATAAACTTGGTAGTAAGGAGAAACTGGATTTAAAGGAGATTCCCGAATCCTCTTTTAAGAGGATTCGGGAATCTTTTGTTTTCAGAAAGAATTTTCTATTTCGCAAATGTATATTACAACAGCCAATTGCAAACAGACCTGTAGTGTAGTTATCACACAGTAAATCTACCTTTCAAAAAACTAATAAGGTGGGAGACAGCCCCAGAACAGAATACCAATCCTCTGCTCTTTTGACAACCTGCCAACTCATGAATGTAACAAAATTCACTGGCTCAGTTCTCCACCACAGAGCTCAGTCTGTACAACTGCCTTCCATGTCATTGTGCCACTTGGCATATTTAAACTAATTTGTTTCTTCCATGATAATTTTGTCTACCAGGACACATGCATACACGCATGGATCAGTATTTGGTGTACTTCAACAGGCAGTTGAACACATTTAAAAAGGAAATGTTCCTAGATAGGATCTGCTCCTTCCAACAGAAGGACCATGGGATTAAAGTTGGATGAGCAACTCTTTTAGGCCAAAGAAACTAGAGGTAAAACTTGTATACAATCCTCCATGATCACTTTTGATACTGTGCTATGAGCTGTTTTCTTTCAGCATAAAGGCAGCCACTAAGCACTGAAGTGTAAGTGCTATCAGGGTATAATAGGTCATGTCGATAACACCTAAAAGAGAGAAACATTTTATGAAACTCCTGTTTGAGTCCTACATAATCCCGTTAATAGAAAGTATAAGGTGCAGGTTTGTGAATGGAATAAAAGACTGACACTTGCATGCAACTACTCTATATAGGGAAACTCTTCATCTGGTTAAATGTGTGTGCAAAGGGATTGTTTATGCTCAGCAAACCCTCACAGCTCTTAGCTTCCATCCAATTACTTCTCAGCATAAGTCATGTTTGTGCTCTTACATGAAGATCATTTGCATTTTCTCATCTAAAAGCTGAGCTGCTTATAAAAAAATCCCAGCCAAACATGGCAGTAACTGTTTATAGTAGAAAATGAGGCAAATAAATGAAATTTTCTATCCACTGAGAACAGCTCTTGTTTATCCTTCAGTCCTTCTAAAAATTGCATCTGGACACAGACCAAACATGACTAGTTTCAGTCCAAAAGGAAACCATTTTGCAGCACTAACAATCTCTGCCATATAAATTAATATTAGCATAGGAATATAATGATACCTACATTTGAAATCTAGAGGATCAACAGAGCAAAGGAGATCAAGACATTTTTGATAAAATGATGCAGTTCTGACTGTCATCTTTGTGATGCAGGTCAGAAGTTAACATGTAATAGAAGCTCTTGGTTAGCAACTTGATGCTAACACTCTAGTGTTGTTAGGTGTTGGTCCATTCTCAAAATTAGCCTGAGTTGTAGGGAGGTTGCAAACGAGATGCAATTGAAGGTCCCACATGGTGGCAAAAGATCAACTGGGTACTTCTGGGGAAGATTCCCTTGACTTAGAAAGATATACTGTACTGGTAAAACAATATTAGAAATTATAAAAAGATTCCTGTCATACAAGCAAAAGAGGGTAGGTAGCTGTGCTGCCCTACCATTGCCAACTGATGTTGGAAGGCCAACAAATTCAAGACTATTTAAAAAGAAAAAGGTATTTTAGCTATACTGCAACAAGGGCTATGGGTTTTTCAGTCCCAATTAATATCTTTAGTGAACAACTACAGATTCACTCCTTTCAGACAAACGTTGGTAAGATAGCTGGAGTATAGGGTTAATCCTAACTGATAACATATCAGAAGAAAACTTACAGGAAAAAAATAACACTATAATAAACACACTTTATTAAAGCAACAGAATGGCTAACCTCACACACTCCGTGTCAACAGAAATAGCTATAGCTTTAGGTAAAAAAGGTCAAGTGAAGAACGTATTGAACTGCAGCAAGTAACACACCCGAGCCTGGCAGTGCTACTGAACTGAAAACTTCCCTGTACCATTGCTTATATACTAGAAAGATCAGGGAAGATGATAGTACTTCACACTAAGCAACTTTGTAGTTGGTGTCGTCAGAGCTCTCTGTATCTGGATTTGTGCCCATTCTGCATGGAAACTCCCAAGGTGAGAGAGACAAGTTTTATCCCCCTCTCCTTTTTTTTTGGCCATAGTTTTGTCTGGATGGAGAGTTATATACAGAATTCAAGAAGATACTTTTGATAAACAAGGGGCTACTTTAAGATGGGTCAGAGTAATCTGAGAAGGAGACCAGCCACTATTATGTGTAAATCTTAGAGTTCCAAAACTTCCCAAAACCACTTCACATGGTCTGGGATGGAGCCAGTGTTGTGTTTTTGTTTGTGGAGAACCAAGGAGAGGAACTGAGACTAAGCAGCAGCTGAGCATATCTTGATATAATATGCATTACAAAGAGGAAGATATATTCCAGGCCTGTTAGGCAGCATGGATTCTTTTCAGCAGCCTTAACATGCACATATTGATAAGGCATGAGAGAGGCCCCTCATATTTTGAGCTGTTTGCTTCATGGTTAAAAATGCTTCCCACAGGATGTAATTCAAGCAGAAATCACTTCCGTGCAATATAATATTTATCTAGTACCTTTGGGCCACTATAGTGTCTTCTTAAAGAGAGGACTTAAAAGTGTTGTGCCATCTCCCTGATTTCACTGTTTCACATCCTCTTGCTTACTTTATCTCCTAGTGAGCAGATGTGAAAAAGTCAGATAGGAGTTTCCAACAGTTTCCTAGTACTGCATTTTAACAGCTCCATCATCCACTGAAGCCAAAACAGAGAAAATGCCCAACTATTTCCACTGTGAGGCCTTGTGAGGGCCCAGTGAGGACATATACTGGGCAAGCATCTCACCAGCAACAGGGAGACTTTCAGCATCCTGACTGTCATAATTCAGAACCTAAATCCATAGTGTCTGCCCATACCGGTCTATTAACAAAGCAGCAAAATCAATAATGTGAGAAAAATGAATCCATTTGTCTGTAAGACAAGCTCATTCCTCAGAGGAGTTCAGACCTCTTTGTTGCCTCTGAATGTAAGAGGCACAGCATGATCATCCATTGATGCTAGCGGAATGTCACTTTAAAAAATCTTACCATTACTGCATACTTTTAGCATAGTTCCAATTATTAATGTGAGGAGGGATGGAAAAAAGCAGAGAAGTAGGCCAACTCACTAAAGAGTTAAGGAGCACAAAATAAGTCTTCCTAACAACTGCCAGAGCTGTATTCCTTCCCTTTATTGGTATTTTGCTTTAAAATGTAAATTTCTCTCATTTCTTGGTTCCAGGCTTTGATGGGGAAGCCATATGGCTCTTTACCTAGAAAAACTGTCCCAAGAGCTGAAGAAGCAAGCGCTATGAACTTTGCTACTCTCTGGGATTTTAGTGTAAGTGTATATTCTTGCAATACTGCATATTCACAATACTTTTTGTTTATTGTTGGCTTTTGCTTCATTATTTAATATTCAGAGATTTAGTATGAAATATTTCAGGAGAAAATTGAAATAGAAATAATTTACATAATTTTTTCATGAATTCTGAGTATAGATATTTCCTTCAGGTAAAACATATACTGAAGTCCAGTGTCCACGTGCACATTTTAGTATCTTTAGCAATAAAAAGATATACAGGAAAAAGTCTCTAGGCTGGATTCACGTCTCTGGTTACCATCCGTTTCTTACAGGTGAAAGTGGTCCTCTCTGTTTATGTGAGTTAAGGTTCCAAATCTGAGGAAGCCATGTGAATTAGAAAAAAGAAAAACCAAAACAAAACATGCTCTGTAGGGCTTTTTTTTAAAACAAAGAATATTATTTTTAGCTTTTCTCACTCTTGTAGAAT